TTTTTATATATAAAAGACTGTTTTTCTAAGTAATCTAGAATCTAGCTGCAAGGACCCGCTTCGCTGGGTTTTTAAAAAGTAACGATAGTAAAGATTAAGATAATTACATTATAGCCAATCTTACCCGTTTTCACAGATTGCAAGAATTAGGTCCCCCGTTTCCAGACTAATTACAGACCTTGTCCCGATTCTATTTCTGAACGTCTGTTCACGTCCAGTCAAACGAACTTTTTTCAACGTTCCTGGAACGTTTACAATCGTTCTATAATCGAACCAATATTCGAATTTTATGTTCGAATTTAATTCGAATATTGTTCGAATGTAATTCGAACAAATTCGAACAAAACATTCGAAATAGAAAGCCACTTTCAACCACTTTCATCTCCATATCTCCCGCACTCTTATAGCTATCGAGACGCAACCCCCCTGGTGCACGAATGGAGACTTGGGGCTACTACCACATACAAACACCATTCACGTGAGATGTGTAGTTTTGGCGGAAAAGTGAAATATACGGACATACATGTCCATTTATATATATATATATATAGATAAAAGTAGTACATGGATAAATATTAAAATAGCTGTATCATGTTTAATAATGGAAACTACCGTAAAAATATATATTAATATGATTTGAGTGTAGAAGTAAATTTCAAAAATATTCTACAATAATAACGAAAATATTGCAACGTATAATGATTTAAATTTTTAGAAAAATTTAGGTTATATATAAATTAAGTTCCTTTCATCGCTGTATTGATTGTCTTATTGTATATAATTTCTTTTATATAAAACAATTATAAAGCTATTATTTTATTGTGACATCATCACAATGTCGAACAATTTTTAATGAAATTTTAAATTTATTTAAGTTAAATTTTCAACTTAGTAACGACTTGTCCCTATACATCATACTTTTTTATTATCAACAGAATCATCTAACTTCTTTTGGGTAAAAATTGTACTGAAATAAAGTGACTTTCATCATGCATTGGAAGTTTGCATACAGTTAAACGGGGCGTTATTCCTATTTGGTTTCCATACCTGGTGCCGTCGTTCATATATCTAACTTCATTCCTGAAATTAAGGAGGGACAGACAAACAGCCGGACGGACAATAGTAATATAAAGATAACACAAAAAATATTTTTTAAGGAATTTACTGCACAACTCCGTTTGTGTTTTCTATCCTAAAAACTTTCGAATGTGTTTATTACCATTGTAATTATTAATTATTTTAAAATTTCACTTTTAAGTATTTAAAAGTATTTTTAAAAATTTTGGATACAAGAAAATAAATATTAAATTCTACTTGAAATGTAGTAATTACTGCATTACTTACAAGATTTATATAACATTCACTGCTTCATTTCACTCGTTTATGAATTAAAATATCGTTTTAAAATACAATAGAAAATGAACTATTGCGAAAAATATCTTAAAGAGAATTTTTTTATACTTTAAAATAGGGTGAAGGAAACAGTTTAGGAAGGAAATAACTTAAGGAAAAGGAAATATCGATATTATTATAATAAAACTGACCTGATTATGATTGAAATAGTTAAAATTCTTTTTTTAATATTATAAATAAATAAACGAAGCAGAAATTAATAGAAGTATTTATAATATATTAACACCACAATAACATACCACTTATCTGCAGCTTGTTTTCTAAATATCTGATGAATAGAAATTAGCTGGTGAAACGTCATTTTACTTTCAAATGTTACAGTACAATTGTCCTTGAGAAATTCATGAATAAAATATTTTATGAAGTACAATTAGTGATATGATACTAACGAAGTACATCTACTTATCATTGGGTTAAAGCACTTTGTAATTATTGCAGATAGGTAATCCCTATCAGAAATAAGCTATCCTCCATCTCTTATTAGAATATTGTTATTTTCTATATCGATAAAATATCACAGTTACCATTGATCTAAAGAAAATATGACTATAGTGTTAGATTTAAAAAGTTTTCCTCATAGTAGAACGACTTTTGTTTCTTATAGTTTCGTGTAAAACGTTTTGTGAACTTTTTAGTTTGATTGAATTAATTAATTGGCAGTTTATCGATGTATATAATATTTTAGTGCTATTCATATATAATATATAAACATATATCAGCCCGAAATGGGTGGCATAGTTGAATACGCAAGGACTATGCCCATAGGTGGCATAGTCCTTGCGCATGAACGTCTTTGGTCATCGCCTGAAAAATTCAACTTCTTCTATCTGAGAGTCGTCGAAGAGAATGACATAGAGTGACGTCGAGTTGATGACCAGCAATCGATAGTGCACCTTACGATGATCGAACAAATTTCGTTCGACGTCGCCTTCGATCATATTGCTTTGAAATAGATTGTTATTGCATATTGGTTCGATTATAGAACGATCGTAAACGTTTCAGAAAATTGATCAAATTGAAAACAGTTCGTTTGATTCTCGGCAATTCTCATCATTCTCAGCTGTAGGTGTTATATAACAATTACTATGGTTGTTGAAATACTGAATGTAAATAGGGTTTGTTTGCAAAATCCTTGCTGGCAAAGCCGCGAGTAACAGCTAGTCGTCCATAAATGGACAAGGCAACTTGTATTATAACATTTACACTGTATTCAAATTAGTATACAACTGTCATTGTAGTCAGTATACATCCGAATCAGAATTATGGATTTTTTAAAATTTTACTTAATTTGTCATGTTTTCAACAAATTTATAGAAATTATATGTGATAGTATGTGAATTACATAAAGCTTATATTAATGAGATTATTGGGCGACAGTTTTAAAATTGTAGACTTATTCGTTTCTACTGTCATGTTTGTAGTCTGCTGAGAGATAGACGGGGGGCTGATAGAAAAATGGACGAACGTCTGGATAGAAGGACGGACGGACGGAGATCAGACAGACAGCGGACTGACAAAATGGAAACGTAAAGGTAATTTAAAAATACCGACCTAATAAAGTGAATCACGGCTTTGGGTTTGCCGTTTACCGACAGGCTATTAGACGTTAGTTTAGTAATTTATTATGTCATGATTCAGAAATTATTCGACTAATACACAATTCAATTCAAAGACTAATAGTCTGGGAATTGAGTGTCGTGAAGCCAAAAGGGGTTTATTCTTGGAAAATTTATTATACTCTTGTTATGGCAATCTCGATGACAACATAGAAGAGAATAGGTCTCAGTGAGCACGTTGGAACACATGCGGATAGAGTTTGTGTACGTTGTAGTGGCCGGATCTTATGCGAGTGGTGCAGTCACTAAGAAGACAACAAATGGTGTCGAAAGTGGTGCTGTCCTGACCGTTTCATTTGAAACACTCCAGGATAAGGTGGTGTTGTGTGGAAGCATTGACAACGTCTAGCCAAGCGATTTGGCAAAATTTGCGGCTTTGTCCGGCATCCTGAATGAAGGACTGCAACATGAACTTGTAGTCCATACACCTTTTAAAATGGAGAAGCACTTTAGGGC